ATGCAAAAGCGCCTGTTTGGCAATATTTTGGATTTTGAAAAGCCTGTTGACTTTTGCCGTTTATCTAAGGTGATTTTGGAAGTTTTTTTTAAACATTCGTTTCTTATTTAATTGGTTCCACATTGTTTGCTGATTTTTACTTTTAAATCTTGTGTCATTTATTTATTTTTATTTGACATCAAGGTGTATGCCGTGCCTCCAAGGTTTCTTATTTGTTTTGCTAATAAACGTTCTACATTTCTTATTTATTTGGTTATATATTATACATGTTTACTTAGCCTATTTCCAGTTTTGTATACCTATTTAAACTTTATGTAAGTTATTTGTTATTTTATATTAGGCATAGCCTGCCCTATAGCATGGTGTATTTGTATTTGTTTTGTTAATAAAACTTCTATGTTTTATATATACGCTAAAGTGAGTTTGACGCTGTATTTTGTTGTTGCATTCAAGCAACTGACGCCTAACTGCCGCTAATTCAAAAGTGAAAGTAAAATGAGCACGGCGCTTTTAAGCTATTTAAAAGCGAAGGAAAGCGAGGAAAAGAGGGAAAATTCAAACGAACTAAAAACGAACAATTGATTTTCGCCGAATTGCCGCTATTTCAAAGTGAAATTAAAATGCGCACGCCGCTTTTACAAGCCATTTAAAAGCGAAGGAATGCTAGGAAAAGAGGGAACGCCCCGCCCCCACGGTGATACCGGTATTACCAGTGTTGTCACACGCCGATTAACCGGTGGGAAAATTTCCTCACCGACACAACCCTACTGTTAACTAATGAACCTTATTGTAAAGTGTTACCAATATTTTAAATATAAAGCAAATTATTTTAAATATCAAAATAAGAGAAATTATATAATTATGAGCAATGTAATTTATACAGTAAATATTTTCAGTATTACAGTATTTTACAATATTTAAGTATTAAAACATTTAAGTATTAAAAAATAAGTATTACATTAATATTAGAAATAATAATAATTTATACAGAATATATATTGGGGCTGCACAATTAATCAAATTTCTAATCGCAAATACAATTACGGAAGCCACAATTACATAATCGTTCAAAGTCCACTTATGTTATCCTGCATGCTTAAGATGTGTTTTTAAGGGTTTTAGCATAACATTATAATACCACTA